TTTTTTGAACTAGCTTCTTTGACTTAGCAGTAAACATTTAAGATTCTTCTCTTTTTGTGGTTTTATAGTTCTTTGTAAGGAGCTCTGGTAGCGTAGTGGTTACGAATCAGGCTGTAAAAACGCAAGGTCAGCAGTTCAAAACTACCAGCTGTTCCGCAGGAGAAAGATGAGGCTTTCTGCTCCCGTAAAGATTTACAGCCTTGGAAACCCTGTACAGGGTCGTTATGAGTCGGAACCGACTCCACGGCATATAACCACCATCACCATAGTTCTTTATGTCACTGAATATTCTTCCATTGTATAGATGTGCCACAATTTGTTTATTCATTTATTTATTGAAGGATATCTCGGTTGCTTGTAATTTTGGGTAATTATGCATAAAGCTACTTGATGTGGCTGTACTTTTTTTGTCTCGTGTGGGTAAATATGCTGTTGTTAAGTAACGTGGAGTCGGTTCCGACCCATAGTGACCCTACCCAGGGTTTCTGAGCTTGTAAATTTTTAAGGGAGCAGAAACCCTCATCTTTCTCCCGCATAATGGCTGGTAGTTTCGAACTGCCGACCTTGAGGTTAGCAGCCTGATTTGTAACCACTACGCTACCAGAGCTCCTTAATAACATATGATATATTGCCATCTGTTTATCTTCGTTGGTGAGGTTTCTATTCATATCTCTTGCCCATTTTTAAATCAGATTGTTTGTTGTTTTGTTCAGTTTTAAAAGTTATTTGTATTACTTGTCTACAGGTCCTTTACCAAATAGATATTTTCCAAATGTTTTCTCCTACTCTGTGACTTCTCTTTTCATTCTCTTGACAGTGTTTTTTGCAAAGCAAAGTTTTTCATTTTAATGGACTACAACTTAGCAGTTGTTTTAAATTTTGCTCGATTACTGCCCTGTATTGCTCACTGCCATGTCACTGCTGTATGCCTGATATAGATTCACCAGTTGCCATTAAGTCCGTTCTGACTCATGATTCCTCCATGTTTGGCACAGCAAAGCTGTGCCATGTGGCTTTCAGTGACTGAGTTTTTGTAGGTGGATCACTAGATCTTTCTTTGGAGGTACCTCTGGATGGACTGGAATCTTCTACCTTTCAGTTAACAACTGAGCGCATTAGCCATTTGTACCACCCAGGGAGTTAGCACATACTCCAAAAAAACCACAACCACTGCCATGAAATCTGTTCTGAATCATGGCAACCTTATGTAGTGTTTCTGAGACTATAAATGTTTAAATGTGTTTACAGGAGCGGACAGACTCATCCTTCTCCTGTGGAGTAGCTGCTGGGTCGGAACTTCCACCCTTGAGGCTAGCAGCTTAATGCTTATCCCACTGCACCACCTGGAGTCCCCCAGCATAGATGAAACCCAAACCAAACCCACTGCCATCAATAGATTCGGACTCATAGCAACCCTGTGGAGGGTTAATGAGGCTGCCTGCTCCTATAAGGATTTACAGCCCCAGAAACCCTATGGAACAGTTCTGCTTTGTACTATAGGTCACTATGAGTCAGAATCAACTGTGGGTTGTTGTTTTCTTTTCAATGATACTATATTTAAATTTAAGGAGCTCTGGTAGCGTAGTGGTTACGAATCGGGCTGCGAACCTTAAGGTCAGCGGTTCGAAACTACCAGCCGCTCCGCAGGAGAAAGATGAGGCTTTCTATTCCCGTAAAGATTTACACCCTCGGAAACCCTGTACAGGGTCGCTATGGGTCGGACCCGACTCGATGGCACTTAACAACAACAACA